CAGTAAATTTGAGTGAGTCGCCATAAGCTGTGGTCATGAATAGTAGGTCGCGATTCTAAAAAGTTTGGGAACCCCTGGTCTAGACAACCACAGTTCTTCCAGTTCATCAATTAAAGATATTGGTATGTAATAACAGTTTAAAACGCAAAGATAATGCCTAGACAACCACATTTATTCTGATCAGAATTTAAAGATCTCGTTTGTAAGAACAGTTTAAGAATCAGAGATAATGCCTAGACAATTACAGTTACTATAATTCAGAGTTTAAACATTTTGTTATATAAGAACAGTCTAAAAAGTATAGGTACTGTCTAGACAACCACAGCTATCAGATTTTAAAGATAATTTTATACAAGAACACCTGAAGATGCAGAAGTAATGTCTAGACAACCACAGTTCCTCCAATTCATCAATTAAAGATCTTGTTATGTAATCACAGTTTAAACAACAAACACAATACATTGACAACCACATTTACTGTGATTCAGAATTTAAATATCTTATTGTGTAACAACAGTTTAAGAAGCATAGATAATACCTAGACAAACACAGCTATCAAAATTTAAGAGTGATATTATGTAAGAACAACTTAAAAACATAGATAATGCCTAGACAACCACATTTACTCTGATTCAGCATTTCAAAATATTGTTATCTAAGAACAGTTTAAGAAACAGAGATGAGGCGTAAACAACCACATTTACTCTGATTCAGAATTTAAATATCTTGTTATGTGAGAACAATTTAAGAAGTACATATAATGCCTAGACAACCACAGTTTAAAAATTCTTGATAAGATATCATTCTTTTGAGCTTGTGCCTAAACTATTTTAATGTACAGCACAAATGCTGTGGCTTGAAAGAAAAGCCTACAGTAATAATTTTGAAGCAACATCATCTCCAAACATGCAGATAACATCTACTCGACAAACTGCTTAATGAGTTTGGATCATCCAACTTTAGATGTATAAAACAGAGTCAATGTTATATAATTTTGATAAATGTAAGATTTGTGGGGCCACTTTGGCTCTACTTGCGTGTTCTGAGTTAAAAGATCAGTTGGCCGCTAATAGGTAGTCTGATTTGGCAGGCATAGAAGAATAGGTGTTGCCA